TCTCCGGAGCCCCAGGACTATCTCAGTCCTATCACTAGGAACGAGTCAGACGAGTATCGCTACGACGTCCCTCTTATTTTCTTCCATGTGGTCGAGATTCACTTGCCCATCCGGGTCTGTAGATAGTTTGGAAGAATGACAGGCTGCCCACCACTGCTTTACTCCACCAACCAACAATTGCATGGGTGCGTTATCGATTAATAACAATGCTACAATTCAGAGGTGTGTGGTACAACTAACATTGTTTTGTTGCAGGTATGACCGTAGGAAGAGGTACAAGACCAAGGATTGGCGCGTGACACACAGCGCGCATATCCATTTGTGGCAGAACAGGGTACGATATCTGGTCCATGTGGGTCCTCCATATGACCAACACACCTTCGACGAGTACCTGCGGTGGCTTCACAGGTCTACGAGGACACATATCAAGCCCCAGTACACTGAGGAGGCGATTGACGAGGACTCAGAGGAAGATGTCATCGAAGATGTGTACGACGTTACCACTAGGGAGGACACACAGCTACAGAGAGCCCCACTTCAAAGATACATGGTAATATACTTGAATGGTACAATTTGTTATCCTTTTGGTATTAAGTATGTGTACTAAAACTGTCCAACCGCGTTTCTGTACTCAGGCGACACAATTGTCAAGGCTGTCCAACGAAGCAGCGTTCTGGCTTCACGAGTCTAGAGGGCAGGGGCCAGGCGTTCTCGTGGCTTTTGTGGAGGTAAACATAAACTTATCCGTTCCAAAAATGTTTCTTTAGTGTATATGCGTTTGGGTAATGCACCAACTTTAGCGTCTATTTATGCAGAAGGTGAAGAAGAGCTGCAGGAAGCTAGCTCAGAAGCTAAGCTGCATGGACACTCCTTACAAGGAACCACCACTCTCGGCGTGGTCGGGTGGCACGTCTTCAGCCTCTTTGAGGACACCAGCCGCCTCTTCTCAGCAGGTGCCACTTTCACGGTGCGTGCACCACCACATCATAGCGCTAGGAAGGACCCTGCAACCGAGGATGATGATGACGACGATGAGGACCCCCCAGGCGTCCGCAGACATCATGACCAGTGGGACGATTGGCCGCAGGATGAGATCAGCATGTCTCAGCTAGGTGGTGCCCCGCTTGGTACCCAAGGAGCCTCACAGGTACTATCAAAGATAGTTTCTTTAAATACATAGGCTCCATGAACTAACGATCATAAAGAATTATAAGTAATCGTGCGTATCATATACTTGCAAGGTATGAGCCGTACGCACCGTCGACACGACCATACCGATGTTGGCTACACTCCCAATGTGTTGCCAACAAATCCAAAGAGACAGAGGCATCCGAGGGATCCTTACACTCCTAGGTCTTAGTTTGTTAGGTCAAGCGAATATTGGCGTTCGAAACTTGCGGGGTTATTTGGTTATGTTATGTCAAACTTATGTCAAAACAATTAAAATGTTATGTGGCAGCTTGTCAACTTGCGCACGGACTTCATTTATTTGCTTCATATTCGTTTCTTTGCGTCGCGACAGCACTCCCGGCGAGATTAAGTACCAACTAGTTCGGGAACCGACAGTCCCGGCATATCTCGACGCCGGTGGTAATTTTTCATAATCGATTAGTTAAAATGGTGGCTAACCGTATTATGAAAGATGGAAAACAAATCATTGGCTTATCAAATTCTCTATTCGGCCGTGAAAAAAATTCAACAAAAGACAGAAAGAAAACAACTATTGATTTTATGTCAGGCAATATTTAGAATAACTCCCACTATCGGCACGACGCGTTCCGATTAAACTGTCCAGGTACCAACGGGCGGGCGACGGGCACGACAGCTGGGCTTGCTGCTCGGGCAGGCGGGACTAGCCGTGGTATTTATTCAGCCCAGCCGCGCCACGGATCAGGGCGTGACACTGCCGCGCCAAGGTCGGTGGCGCAGCAGGACCTACCGCGTCAACGGTCCCCGAATCCAGTCGTCGCCACGTCAGCCCGCTGCCGTGCCACCATGCATGGCGCGGCACAGGCATTTGACCGTGCCAGGGCAATAGGCGTGGCCAAAAGTGTTAGTTTAAAAAAAATAACCATGTTAGATTTAAAATTAGTTATCAAAAAGTGTTAAAATTAAAAAAAATTCTCCGGGAGAGACGGCGATTCGAATCGATTCCTACACAGCTGAGGAATTATTCCTAACACAAACCCAGACATACCTGCGCTAAGGTAGTCTTCGGTCACCTTTGGTACAACTCAGGAACTAAATTCGTGGGCCCAAGCAACGCCGCACTCTCAGGGAGTCCACTCTACCAAGACATCAATCTGCCCTCGGACTTACGCCAATGGCTCCCCGCACATCCTTACTACCACCAGAGTGCGCACTTTCACTTCCCGGCTTCTGGCATGAGTTGAGCTACTCGGCATCGCAGTCGGAACGAGTTATCCGGCCAACTAAGTGATGGGCATGCGTTCAACATGACATGAGGATGTACAGCGAATTAGTCCTTAACCGACACAAACGGGGATAGATCCACACCCAAGACCTTCATGCCTTGTTGCTTCTCTATCGATATCCCGCCCGGTCTCCTTTTTATTCATCAACACATGGTTATTTCCACGATAGCAAATATAGCCAATCGTGCTTTAGTATCCACCTATATCTCATAGGTGATAAGAAATCACCCGACTTCTACCGGTCTAAGCATTGCTAAGCATACGTTTGATCCTGGACCTACATAGGGTTCAAGGTATATTTCTAGACAAGGTAGTTGTATGCATCAAGTGGTTCCAATCAACTCTTATAACCGAATGCATCAAACATAAAGAACTCAAGTGATATTTGTAAAAACATAGGAGGTTTAAAATGCTCCGGGGCTTGTCTAGGATCCAACACTAGGTTAGTGTTTATTAGACGACACTCGCTTGGCGAGCATCTTCTATCTCAGCACTTGCTTAGTCCTTCCATCTTCTGGATTCACCAAACTCCATCTTTAGGTTCGGCTCCAACATCACATCCTTCACGTGGTTCATCTAGCGTACCTAGATTAGATGCAAGATGCAAGTATATGAATATGAAGAATGGTAATATGAGATGCATCATGTAATAGCATTCAAGGCAAATATAAGATCATGCAAGATATAGGCACCTAGAGTTATTTAATTAAACATTACACAACCTATTATAGAGGGAAAGCAAACATATTAGGCATGGCACATAAGTGAACTTAAGTTTAGATATAGCACACATGCATCGATCAAGAACTAACCAACATGTTTAGCCAAAATAAGAGCAAGCTAAAGCAATCACCTAGCACATGTATAGAAATCTAGACAGCAGCACAGCAGTCACTTATTTTAACCATAACTAGAGATATAAGAATCCAACAAGGGTGAACCTAGACTTTCTGTAAAGCTAATGAAATTATCTAAAACTTTGTTATTTATTCCAAAAGCTAATTCACAGGTTAACATGATCAAATATGGCAATATCTCAGGTCTATACCGATACGGACAGAAAACTGATATGAACTTTAGAAATGTATAACTGGAGTTCTAATTATCCAACAAGCATTATTCTTAACTTTATAGAAATATTATTAAGTTATCTGCAACCTTCTTATTATCATCTTTACGTGATTTAATAGTTATTTTGCCTTAAACACACAAAGCAACAATTCTGTCCAAAACATGGATAGAATCTGACATGCAACTTCAGACAGCAATAAGTTGAATTCTACCTTTTACAACAAGGTGGTTCTAGACTTTTTAGAAATATTAGCAAACCATGAACAACTTTGTTATAAACACCACAAGCTAATTCCAAAGCTAACTAGGTCAAACATCACAAAGAAGACATCTCTGTCCAGATTATGACAGAATCTGTCACTCCACTTTACAAGCTCATAACTAGAGAAGTAGACCACCAAAAGGGATGACCTTTAACAATTTGGAAAGCTCATGAAAATCACTACACTTCTTCTATTATCTCCAAGACATGATTCAAAGCTTAGCTAAGTCAAACAACACAATCATTCAGATCTATACAGAGAGCATGCAAAACCTGATAGGGAAATTATAAAATCTATAGATCCTAAATTATCAGGCCTATGGTCATGACAATTTAACACAAGCTATATTATGAAGTTACCTACAACTTTGGTATTCACCATAATCACAGAAAACATCATTTGCATTATGAAACTAATTGCATAACCAAAACTGTACCTGCAGTCTAGACAGCTGAGGTATACCACATCCATCTCTTATTTAGTTGCTACAAACTAACATGTTCTTGACATACATGCTACTCTAAACAGCTTGTGACCATATTCAAACAATCATAGCACATACTAATAGCTATGAGAAGCATCCTATGACAATAACTACATAGATCTATTAGCAAACTTTCATCTTCTACGTATATAATGCAATATATATGTTATTTTTAGTGCCATATGAGAACAACAAGTTTGGGGATGAGGGTTTTATGAGTGGTAGATGTTATCAAAACATCAATACTGTACAAATTTCACATACTCAGGTTTTATAATTTAATTGTTATGAAAAAGACAAATTACTATTGCAAGAAAACATGTAAAAGCAAGATAAATCTAAAGATCATTATTTTCTATAAACATATAGTCATATTATATGTTATTATGGTAGAACAACATCATACAAAGGTAGTGGAACCACATTTTTCATTTTTACACCTACATAAAATTTATAACTTATTAAAACCATTTATCAAGCATTTATAAGTTAAATCAATAACTCAACCATACTGTATCTAATAAAAATCAAAATTTTACCACAGCACACATATAGCATCAGTAGCCTACCATAAAAATTTTACAGCAATTGGAGGACCATAACTTTAGATATAAACTGTTGTTAGTTCTTATTTGTTAAATTTGTGTACTTTGTTAAGTTGTTTTGCCATGTCTACTGTCTACTACTCTTTACATTTTCTTTAGTCTTTACAGTTTTGTTTTTCTGCTATTTTGCCTATTTAATTGATTATCTTCTTTCTTTGTAATTTCAGATTCAGCCACAAGTCAGCAGTCAGCACTCACCATCAGGCATCAGCAAGCAGTAGTTACAGGTAAGTGGCCAAATCACCATGATAATGATTCATTGCAAACATGATTACATGCCAAACTGTGCTTGGTTGCTTGCCTCTAACATTTACTTATTTATTATGGCCATGTTTACATATATTTACATCATATATATAGTGTATACATGGTCGATCAGGTCATCTAGGCACAAGGACGACTAAATGTCCGACTAGCCGATTAGACCGATTAGGACCGACTAATCGACCCTTATCGACGACTAATCACGATTAGTCGTCTGATCAGTGGTCATACGACTAGCCTCGATAATACGATCTGAAAACATTGGTGACGAGATGAAGAGGGTCCCAGTCTCTGAAGTTGACAATGATTTACTGACATCGGTCGAGTCTGTCTCTGAGGTTTCCAGCAGAATCAGGTCCTCTTCAGGCATCATCCTCAGGATGAGCTCAAGTTCTCTTACAATCTCCCACATGGAAGGCCTGGCATCAGTTTCATCCTGGCAACACTTGGTTGCTAGTGATAGGAACCTCCTGATGCATTCTGGGGGGCACAAGCCCATCCGGCCATCGATTATTTCAGAAACTGTGCCCGACTGGCAAGCTGAGTTTACCTACAGGAATAGGAAAATGCAGTTCGTCATTACATATGTGCTTGTTTTTTTACCGACAGCAAGCACAAGTCTCATGATAATAACAGTCTAAGCTTATGGATTTTCAACCGGTTTCAGCTGTCATTTTTTTTAGTTTTGTGAGAACTGGCTGTCCTTTAAAAGTGCAATGTATCCATAGCTGAAGAGTGCATACCTCTCTCACGATGTTTTTACCATGCTCAATTGGTTTCATACCAGTCAACATTTCAAGGAACACGACACCGAGGCTGTAAACATCACTCTTATCCGTCAATTTGTGAGTTAGGAAGTATTCCGGATCAAGATAGCCCTGCCAAAATAATAATGATATGATATAGTACTGCTGCAAAAGAAAGCATGGTTATTTTGACATTGTCGATATGACTGACAGTCTGACACTTACTGGGGTGCCCTTAACAACAGTGGAGACATGAGCTGGTAATATCCCTTCGACATCTGGCACTGGAGCAAGCCTTGAGAGACCAAAATCGGCTACCTTCGCGACGAATTTGGAGTCCAACAGAATGTTGCTGGCCTTAACATCACGGTGGAATATAGGTGGATCTGCTTCAGTATGTAGATACAAAATTCCTTTTGCAGCACCCAATGCGATTTTTAACCTCAAACCAAAACTTAGAGGTCTCTTGGACTTGGCTGTGGTTGGCAAATGATGTAAAATAAGAGGTGTTTTGATTAGCATAAGGAAGAGAAAATGTTCAAATACCTGATAATGGATCTCTCCAATTACTTACCAGAAAGATGATCACGTAAAGTGCCATTTGACATGAATTCATAAACCAGCATCTGCAAAACAAGATTTGAGGAGCAGTTCAGGGATGCTGACAAACTATATTTTCTACATATATACAACTAAAACCAAAAGGTTTCACCTGCCCATCCTCTTCATCACAATAGCCAACCAATGAAACCAAATTGCGATGATGCAATCTTGATAATAACTCTATTTCTGTGCAGAACTCCCTTGAACCTTGAAGAGAATCCTCATGTGCTCGTTTGATTGCTACAACTGTTCCATCGGCTAGAATCCCCTTGTAGACTTTTCCATAACCTCCTTGGCCAACTTGGGCTGACAGATCGAAATTATTTGTGGCTATAGCCATTTCTTCAAATGTGAAGCATCTAACGCCATCAATTTTGACAGAAAACCTTGACACTGCAAACAGCATGATATTTATGTTCAGGTCCTCTCTTGAACGAGCTATGTGCTACAAAGCTAAAAAGTCACTCAGTACAACCAAATGTAAATGACTTACATGAACGCTTTGAGACAGTTCTATGTCTTGAACGCCTTCTCACTCTAAGCGTGGTGGCTACCACAGAAAGTAAAATAGCGCCAGCAATTGAGCTAGCCAAGATACAGCCCAGTGCAGCCTTACTTAAACCTGTTGAGGCTGCATTTGGAAATTCTGCAAAATGCGATAAATAGAATGTTTTTATGCACCAATAGATGTTTAATTGGGCTAAGTGAGTGGACATAAATTCAATGAAGTATAAGTCAAGGAAAAAATAATTGCCAATCAGCCTATCACTGTAAAAAGCAAATGCTATAATTTATCATTTGTATTTCTACAATATTTCTAATTTTGAGGAAGTAATGTATGCTGTTTTGTTGCATGCAATCATTACACTCTGCTAATCAAGCTAACAGAAATGCAATAAAAAAGCTATCGTAATGATCCAAATAATTTCACGAAATAAAACACAGAAACTCCCCTGAAGTCCTGCCACTGTACTTTTTCCTTGCAGGGAAACTAAAAAATAAGCTGCTAGGCACATAGTTTTAAATAATAGAATTAATATCTTCAAAGTGAACACATACCATCTGCATAAGAACCTAGTGTGAAGTTGAGAAGCTCATATGGACCAAATACATCTGAAAGAGTAATTTCCCAGCCAGCAAGTACGTGTCTGAGTCTCACAATCTCAGATATATTGAATAAACTTGAATTACTTGGAAATAACTTCATGTGCATATTTAGCCTTGGACCAACCTCCCATATGTAGCTCTCAATATTTAGCTGATACAGAAACAGTTGCAATAAAGAGGTTAAGTTGATCTCAAAGGCATCTTCATAGGGACGAAAATCTGTGATTCCTGGACTCTTCAGCCGAAGTCCAACTCCAAGTGGCACCGCACAAAAGCAAGGCATTGGTGATGATGGATTGTACTCGTAATTTTTATCTGTAGGGCAAGGTTGACAACTAGAGCCTTGTTCATTTTTCGATGTTTGCATGTTTACTGACATGGGTTGGCACAGGTTGGTTATCAGAGCTCCATTCGTATCCCCACACACAGGGTTTCCATATAGCCTGCCAAAAATGACAGCAGTGGTGATCACTATCCATTGCATGAAAAGGTTACTCAAAAGGGAATTGGAATTTTCTTTGCCCCTGAGAAAAGTGCAATCTTCCGTTCTCCCTCCATCCCAAATTGTAAGACGTTTGACTTTTTTGGCCCCAAGTTTGACCACTCGTCTTATACAAAAAATTTGTGCAAATATAGTCAAATTTAAGTCATTCTTGAAGAATTTTTATTAATAAACCAAACCACGACAAAAGAAGTGATATTTTACACAAATTTTTGAATAAGACGAGTGGTCAAACTTGGTGTCAAAAAAGTCAAACGTCTTACAATTTGGGAAGGATTGAGTAGTTCTGATTTTCACACATGCATGATGATTAAGTGTAGGATATGAAGAGAACTGTTGTCAAATACTTAAAACATAGTCTCACTGTTACATAGATACAAAAGCTTGGTCACAAAGGGAAAAAGGAGGTCTGTACAGCTCTAATTTGACAGAATATACAATATCAATTAATACTGCATCCTATAAAGAAAGGTGCATAATCGCAATTCAGTATGCACAGGGACTATAGATATTATTGATGTGGAGATGAAAACTGAAATGCATAGCAGAAATGTATGAGAACATACATTACAGTGACATTTGGGGGAGGATCAAATGCGGCCGGAATTGTCTTGAGAGAATTGTTTTGGAAGTCTCTGTGTTATTATAAAAACATTATTACATATGTATAGTTAGATCTGAAAAGAATTACTTCTGCAGAAAAGTTCATACAGAATAAGGCTTCTATAACCGGTAAGCCCAATGCCATTCCAGATTGTCGAGGGAACAGAACCATTTAGATAATTATCCTCGAGTGACCTGCAAAATAAAATGTAAGTGATTTAAGAACAAAAAATAATAAAAATATGACAGCTTGAAAAGCTTTACATATGTATTCTTATTTTCAAATGCATTTTTTATAAGCTAACTAATATGACTCACGATTTATATTGATCTAGATAAAATGATTACAGATTTGAATCCAGTTATGGAAAGATTACAAACAGAAGTCGTTGTAATCTCTTCACTGGATAAGACATATATAAAGTTCACATATTTGTAGTGAAAATAAACAGAACCATATGCAAAAGAAATCATATCCATATTCAATGCAAAAGGCTGTTCGAAGACTGTTGAGCAAGCTACACTTACAATATCTGAAGATTGGGGAGCCCTGAGAAGTTTTGTGGGATAGTTCCATTGAGCATGTTGTGCGACAAATCACTGCCACATAACTATAATTAGATCGATGATTAACGAAAATAGAGAAGCATTATCTTAACTACATACATTGTAGTGATATTGGAAGCAAGCTTATTAGTTGGTATAGATCCTGTCAACTGGTTCCAGCTAATATCCCTGAAAAACGAATGTGAGAGTTATTAAGACATGTCCTGAACTGTATGAACTGAAAAGTTGGGCACCTATTGAAAAGGGAAAAACAACACTAATCTTAATAAGTTTCTAATTTAAACTGTTCCAAGAGCCAAGTTCATAGCAACAATCGATAGTCATAATGCTAAAATACATTAATTGGGAACTAATACTGAGATGTACTCACAAATAGCCAAGTTGAGGTATGCTACTCAGATCTGGAATAGCTCCTTGCAAGCTGCAGTTCCTAAGACTCCTGATAATACAAGAAATATTCTCCTCAGGTCTTTTTTAATTCTGTATAAGTTTAGTCTATTGAAGCTGGATGTTGGCACCATGGGTGCTTGCAATTACCTTTTGAGTAAAGGCTAAAACTAAATTATTATATGATTCATGGTGAACAAAAGATATTCACACCTTTTAATTTTCATATAATAAGGGAGAAAGGATAAAAAAATCAAAAGAATAACAGAAAAGGCCATTCTTACAGCTTTAGTAGTGTGGATATGTTGCTATATGTAGTAGGGATGGAACTTCCACTGAAATTATTGTTATCAGCCTGACTAGTAGAAACAGAACGATATGATGTCAGAAACAGTTATATGTTTCTATGATAAGCAATTTTATTCTGACTATCAGTGGGGTAAATACAAACCCAACGCAAGAAAATTTAGGTACATACAATATTTTCAAGGCAGGCGCTTCAGCAAAATCTGGAGGAAGAGGTCCAGATAGATTGTTATTGTCAACAAGCCTGCAAGGTTGCATTAAAGTATGAGAATGAAGACTAATTTAATATTTCATTTTTTGATTTGCAGAAGAATAAAAATCGGGAAAGAAGTAGAGTTTCACATACAGGTGACGAAGAAGAGGCAATCCGGAAAGTTCAGACGGGATGGCCCCACTTAACGAATTATTGTTCATATGACTAAAATGAACAGGATGGTTGAGGTTAGAAATAAGTACAAATGAAACGGAAAAACAGAGAGACAAACATACAATGGAAATAAACACTTCTTACAGATGTTTCACACTTCTTAAATTGGAAAATGATTTAGGTATGGGGCCGGACAATTGGTTTTGGTCAACCTGTAATCTGTTTAAACTTTGAAGGTTGCCGATCTCATCTGGTAAAATACCGGAGAGTTGATTGCCATTCAAAAGTCTGCAAAAGGCATGAAAATAACTATATCAATGTTATTTAACACAGATATTGTGGAGAAATGTTTATTAATTAGAAATGGTAATGTTAAACTGATGTTGTCTTGTGTGCATTATGAGGTTGAGACATGCTGAATAATTCAATGAGAGGTAAGAAAAATAATAGAAAAAGAAAACTTACATAAGTTTGAGCGTGACGATGTTGCCTATCTCCTTTGGGATGCTACCACTTAAGTTGTTCCACATAAAATCCCTTCAAGAAACACAGCATTTAGTTGAATAGCTTAAGAATCAAGAATAAATGTTCCCTCAAAGAAAAGGAATCAAGAACAAAAACCTGCTCGAAACCATGAAATAAGGAATCAAAATTGTGAAGAAAACTTGCTAGCAAGGCACCATGATTTTATGCACGTATTGAAAAGATAGCGAATGGAAATTAGAACAGTTTAAAATTTACAAAATGCAGGAGAACTAAAAAAAGAGAGGAAGTTTGAATTTCAGAGTAATACTTACAATGTTTTCAGCTGAGATAAAAGACTGACGTCTGGTGCCAGAGTTCCTGAGAGATTCCTCTTAAATAACTGCCTGCATGGAGATAAAATTAATGCTACTAGGAACAACTTCAACCTTACAGAAACGACTTAATGAGTTACTGGGTTGTTATATTCCATATCGCGCTGATGTAATAAAATAAACAAACTTTACAAAACCCATGATATTTCAAGCAAAACAAAAGCCTTAGAAAAGAAGCTAGAGAGCAATGGTGCTAGGATTTGTAAACTTAGTGCCTGTTTAGTTCCTAAAATTTTGCAAAATTTTTTAAGATTTCCCGTCACATCGAATCTTTGGACGCATGCATGAAGCATTAAATATAAATAAAAAATAAAACTAATTACACAGTTTAGACGAAATTCACGAGACGAATCTTTTAATCCTAATTAGACTATGATTGGACACTAATTGTCAAATAACAACGAAAGTGCTACAGTACCATTTCCCAAAAAAATTCGCCAACTAAACAAGGCCTTAGTCTGATACGACTAACAGGACTGATGTTTCATGTTCACATGATTGGACAATTGTCAACCTAAGGGCAGTTCATGTTACAGTTGGATTTATGTGTACATGCAGAAAACATTATTTTTTCCCCCTCAAGAAGTCACATGAAGTTGGCATTTGACCATACAAACTACCTTTGACAATAATCACCCTATTCGTTTGGGCTTGTTTGGCTTATAAGCCGTACTTTTTCGGCCAACGAACAATACTTTTCTCTCACACTAAATCAGCCAACAGTATTTTCAGTCATGTCTTATCAGCCAAACAAGCCCAAGCGAACAGGGCGAATAGTGTCTGTTGATTTTTATTAAACAAGAGTAACATGGTAACCAAGACTGACGGATAGAAGAAACAAACTATGATGAATAAATCAAATATTAGTACTGATCATACAATTCTGTCACATGAAGAAATGCATCATCATTCACTTCGTGGCAGAAGACTCCTGTCCAATTTGACGTGCACGGATCTCCCCTATTCCAATTCTTAAGGTTGTTCATAGGATCAACTAATCTTCCCTTGATAGCCCTGAGCCCATCGACTGCATTATGGGAGGAAACCATTCATTCACTTGCAGAAAGTTCCAAACATTCTCACGAATTAACATATGGCAGACAGAAATTACCCTCGGAAGGGTCAGTAGTCTGCCCCAATGCAACATCCGAGCAGGGGAGCAACACAAGTAGGGTAACTGCACAGAGGATGTCTCCAAGCTTAGCCATCCCTCCGAGAAAATTAGCAACTTGTCATATCCCCAACAGCGCAAATATCCAAAACTTCAATTCCTATATACATCCAAGAAAAGAGAATAGCTTAACTCTATTTAAAATAATGATTAGTAGTAGCATCATTCTTGGTGATGTGGATTTGTACGATCAGGGAAATAAATATCTATCTTGACATGATTTTTTTAATGGATGGGGAAATAATGACCAGATGTGCAAATATGATATATAGTCACATGCAGTAGTGCACCTACCATGTTGGCATGTTCTAACAACCTGTCTGGCCCAACAGTCCTCTGTTCAAAATAAATGTGTAACTGGGGAGGGGAAGCGAGTATGACTTAGAGCGATGAAACTGAACCCCTTTTTGAGCATATATATTGCTCAGCTTCACTGACAATTAATTCAACTACACTGACGATAACACCTTCCTACTTTTGGAATCACGACATGCCAACTAAACTAGCAGAGGGAACAGATACTTGTGCAATTGATGCATAAGTACTGACGAAGACACAGACTATTTCCTCTAAAGAACAGAACTGAATCTTATCTGTCCGAGAAGGGAATACGGTAGAAAAGATTTTATTTTTACTGCAAGAAGTAAAGTAACAAACACTGAGCTAACGCGAACATTCGCACGACACAATTGCTCGAGAACAAAAATAAGATCAAAGCATACATACACATACACGAGCACACGACGCAAGTAGATCATAGTAACCAGATGAACGGGATTTGGCAAGAACTCTGAGAAGGCGGCGTTGCTCCTCCTGCCTCCCTCCCGATCCTATCCGCTTGCTTACTTCAGCGACCGCACCCGCAGCAAGAGGAATCCCGCAGCGACGCGACCTGCGCCGCGCTGCTAGCCTACTAGTACTTGAGTACTGAAGTCTGATGACAGTAGCGAAGAGGAGCCCCGCCGTCGCGACGCGCGTTTTATAGGTGGTGGTGGATTGCGCAGCAGCGGTGGTGGTGGCCTGGTGGGTGCTTCCTCGTTGGAACCTTTTGTGCGACAAAGCAGTGTTCACTGGTTCCCACCTCTTCAAAACACAAGTCTATATGCTCAAAAAAAATTATGATAAAAAACACAAGTCTATTTTTTTTCTTTAACTTTGGTATTTATCTAATTTTAATATCTAACTATTAAATTCCAAAAAATTATCATCTTAATTACCAACACTATTTATTTCGATACCAAATGTATTTCCTCTCTCCCAAATTATAAGACGTTTTTTCATTTCAGTAAAAGCTACGAATGGAAAAACGTCTTATAATTTGGTAAAAGCTACGAATCTAGAAATGGAAAAACGTCTAATAATTTGAAACGGAGGGAGCAAGACACTTGTTCATTTGTCACTACCACTGCCTCTATCTTCTTCCTCTTTTCTCTCTGCTAGCCGTTTCTCTCCCACTCCACCATCTAAATCACCGTACAAAAAAAAAGTGCACTCAGAGCCCTCCATCTCCCTGTCTTCTCCCTCATCCAGTGTGCAGTGAGACTAGCACGACAAGATTGGCCTCGCACATGTCCCGTAGCCGATGGTGCTATGTGGCAATGGCGGTGCACTTTCTCTCTATATATGGGAGCACATGTCCATGAATGCAAAAAAAAGTTATGTTCGATTCCATTCGTCGAAATAAGAATGATTTATTTTTGGCCCCTTAACTTTTATGTTTATACAATTTTGATTTCTAAATGCAAAATCGGATAAATTTAGCATCTTAACTTCCAACACCTTTCTATTTTGACCCCCTTAGCCTAGTTTTGGTGGTTTCCAGCGGCTCGAACTCACATGTAACACACTCCATCTTTCTTTCTCTCATTTTCTCACCAGCACTGCCTCCATATCCCTCTCCTCTCCTCTCTCTCCTCTCCTCTCTCGGTCATTACCGACTCCCTCTCACTTCCCCATCTATGGCACCGCATCTTACCGCACCAAATAATGTGTGCACTCAGAGCCCTCCACGGTTCCACCTCCCTTTTCTTATCCATCGGCCCTCCATCGTAGCTCATTTTAATTTCCTCCCCATCTGCTCCCTCATCGAGCACACGTGCAAGATTGCCCGTAGCTAATGGTGCTTTATGGCATGGCAGTGCCCTTTCTCTCTTTGCCTATCCTATTCAACCCTCCCTAAACCCAGGGCATGCATGCAATGGGTGAAAACTTGAACCAATGTGTAGCTGAGAGCTAGAATCGAGCTCGGCCATGGAAAACCTCCTTTTCCTCTGTTTCCTTTTGTGACGAGCAAGGGATGGTGTATAGCAGCACACAAGTACTCCCATTGTCCCAAAATGCTTGCAAATATAAGTTTTCGAGATAAAGTTAGCGAAGCAGGAAAAAGACACGTTGAAAGCCCTAATTTAATTTTGGATAATTGATGAAACCTAGGACTAACCTTTGATCTAAGTGTGTGAATTAGATAAGGTGGTCCAATCCAAGTGGTGAAGCTAGATAATGGTCATAGTGAAGGTGATGGCCACAAAAGAGATGATCAAGTGCTTCACATTTGGAAAAGAAGAAAGAGAAAAATAAAAATGGGCTCAAGGTAAAGGTATATTGATAGGAGCCATTTTTTATTTGCACTCCAGACACCATAGAGGGTGTGAGGGATTTATGATCGATAGTCATACTATAAAGAGGGAAAATCTTTGGCTATGCGGTTATCGAGTGCCACTAGGTGACATAATTCTTGCATATGCATTAGGGACCTAGTGTGCTAACAATTAACCCTTGAAAATGCTTTGTGAAAATGCTAACACACATGCACATTGGTGATACACTTGGTGGTTAGCACATGGAAGTAAGGGTGGTGAAGTTTGAGTTGAAAAGGAGGATTTCAGGCGTGACCGGACGCTGAAACATTGACCGAACGCTAGTGCAACATGCGTCCGACGCTAATGAAACATTGACCGGACGCGCCTATACAACAACGGTTCATAGACAGGAAACACACGCGGTTGAATGATCTGACGCTGGGTGAGTCCGGTCACTGCATCCGATCATCAAAATACCTCTCTGGAACCTCTCTAGATCGCACCGGACGCTAATGCAACAATGACCGGACACTAATCCAACAATGATCGGACGCTAGTGTAACGGGAGGACCGTTGGGCGCCAACGGTCAAATTCAAATAATCTGCGACCGGTCACGCTGAAAACAATACCGTGACGATGAACAGTGTCACCGGTGCGTCCGGTCACTGCTTCGCTCAGCGTCCGGTCACCTCTGGCGAGCTCGTTTCTTCACGATCTTGCGTCCGGCTTGGTTCCCATCTTCATGCTTGGACTTTGCTTGATATCTTGGGTCTTCTCTTGTGCTTCTAGGGTCTTGCTTATGGTGTTGATCGTGGGATCATCATGTCGCCTTCGTCCAAGTCACGTTTTGCACCCTATTGAACTATAAAATAATTACTTGTAAATTCATTAGTTCAATTTGGTTGTGTTGGTCATTAAACACCAAAATCCGAAGTAAATGGGCCTATGGTCCATTTTTCTTACAATCTCCCATTTTTTAGTGATTGATGACAACACGACCAAAACAAAGCAAATAATAAAAATTTTAGAATTTAAAAACTATCTACTACTAGGATGCAATGTAAAGGGCAAGGTTATATGATGCTAAAAGATAACACATGTAAATATCTTTGAAAACTTATCTTGCCCTTGCAAATGTTCCCATGTGGTATTATGGATTTAAGCCTCCCCCTAACTCCATAATCTACTATCCTCCCTTTCTCGGACCATTACCACTTGTAACTTATTATGATTGGGCTTGCTTTTGGTCCTACAAATTCTCCCCCTTTGGAATCAAACACAGAAAAGGAAGACATTAGTAGCACAAGGAAGGGTCAAACTTTGTGATCCTTTGTATGTGGAGTAGAATAGGTTATAAAATTTGACTCTCACATTACATAGACTAAGCTCCACTAAATATATGCATACATATGATGGAGAATGTAGTTTATGCATAATTGGTAAATTAATGCTCAAAGAAGTTTAATCTATATAATACATGGAGAAAGCATATAAATACCAAAGTGAAATCAACATGATGATATCGGTTTAGAAATATCACATGTAGAAACCAATTTGATTTATATCACTTGCAATAGGTGGTGGATATTTGAAGTATGATGCTTAACTCCGGGGACTCTATTTTCCTTGCAATGAGACCACTACATACATGATAATCTTGAAAAGGTGTTAGTCTCAAAGTATCCAACTTATAGAGTAACATCTCCCTAAATTTATGCACACAGGTATGGAATACTTGTAGGAGATATGCACATTGATTTTAGAATAAAAAATACCACTTGAAAGATGACATCACATGAATGTGAGAATCATTTCCGAAGATGATATTCGGGAGAAATTATCTACAATTTAGACTTTGGCATATATTTGATGAACAATTGTAAAACAAGCTATGTGCCGTGCTCCTAAACAATTTAAACCATGTAGGTTTGCTTCAAGGGTTAAGAATGAAACCGAGCAAGCCTACCATAAGATATACCTAGTGTATGCAAGACAAAAGATTAAACATGCAAATATAAACCTAGGCATGAAAAGGAACTAGATGCTTATTGAAATTGAAGAAATTAAATCTAGTTACCTAACATGGGAAGGGAAATTTAGGGTCCATAATATTCACTAACCCACTTGGTAATTTCCTTGTCCATAATGATACACCCCATGAAATGCACCCATACTTTGCCAAGTCTCCAAATTCTCCGAAGTCCATCGGACTTCTCACTTCCCTTTCGGGATTCAAACCTTCTTGGTGCTCTTCATGTTGGAAATTATCTCCTTTGGCACTCAAATGCATTTGGCCCCATTATTGGCTTGCTTGTTCACCTTAATGGTCACCACCTTGTCATTTTTCTTCTTCTTCAAGAGATAAGGTGTGGAGGCCTTTTTGTCCACCTTGTTGGTGTAGGTGTTGGAGAGCTTGCTTGTTTCCTTTTTGTTTTTCTCTTTCTTCTTAGCTCCTCC